TAGTATTATCAGCTATAGTCACCATGCTGTACATTACCTTCCCAGGACTTATTTGTTTGATTATTGGAAATTGGTACCTTTTGACCTCCTTTACCCATTTTGCCCACCCTCTAACCCCTGTCTCTGTCTCTGAGCTTGTGTTTTTTGTTTTTTTTTAAAGAACTCACATATAAAAGTTATGTCATATGGTATTTTTTCTTTCTCTGTCTGACTTATTTCACTTAGCTTAATGCCCTCAATGTCTATCTTTGCTATTGCAAATGGTAAGATTTTGTTCTTTTTTTTATAGCTGCATAATATTCCATTGTGTTCATATACCACATCTTCTTTGTCCATTCATCCATTGATGGAGACTTAGGTTGTTTTCATATCTTGGCTATTATAAATAATGCTGCAATGAACATAGGGCTGCATAATTTTTTCAAGTTAGTGCTTTTAAGTTTTTCAGGTATATGTACTTGAGAGGGATGGCTGGATCATATGGTAATGCTAATCTTAATTTTTTTGAGGAACCTCCATACTATTTTCCATAGCGGCTGCACCAATTTACATTCCCACCAATAGTGAACAAGGGTTCCTTTTTCTCCACACCTTTGCCAGCACTTATTATTTCTTGTCATAGACACAGACAACAGTGTGGTGATGGCCAGAGGGAAAGGGAGGGTGGTGGGGGCTGGGTGGGAGCAGACAAAGGGAGGGATGGGAACATCTGTAATAGTGTCAACAATAAAAAAAAAGTAAAAAAAAAAAGACCTTCCAGACCATATGGTCTCTGTTGCAGCTATTCACCACTGCCATTGTAGTGTGAAAGCAGTTACAGACGATATATAAACAACTGAGTATGGCTGTGTTGTAATAAAACTGTAATTACAAATATAAAAAATAAAATAAATCAATTCCAGGGAAAGTAAAGAAAAATAATCACAGTATTCTACAGAGTTCAGCCCTGTAGAATACATCTAGAACAGCAGTCGCCAACCTTTCGGACCTCATGGGCCACCAGTGGTCCACAGACCATCGGTTGGTGACCGCTGATCTAGAACATCATAATGTAAATAAAAAATGGTAATATTACTACCCATATAAATATATTGAGGGTAAGTGAGTGCAGGAAATTTTCTTGTGTGTGTGGGTGGGGAGTACATTGTGAAAGACCTAGATCCTCCATAGTACTAGTAGGAAGTCAATAGAGCATACCTAACATTGAAAAACCAACAAGTAGCCACACAAGTAGTTACTTAGAGAGTGACAGTACACAAATGTGTTTTTTTTTTTAAATAAAAATGTTTGCCTCTGAGAATCAGAAAATTATTGGAAGATGGCAGTGGAAAGATATATGCTCTCTACTCTTCTCCCCTAAAAGTCTATTAAAACTTAAAAAAAAAACAGAGGAAAATAATCTTATCTTCTTTAAAGAATTATTATTTTTTTTTTAAGTTGGCAAAGTTTTACTGATTAACTGTAGATCTCTCAATACCTTTAGGTTCATCTCCTAAAAAAACTCTTTCCATGAACCTTCAAACTTGATCTAATTTGGCCTAGTTGCTCTCTTGGCCTGCTGCTCAATGTCATCTTAGGTTTTCCCTCCAGCATCATCTGGGAGATTCTCCTTACCTTTCTTTTGTGTTGGAACCTTTGTTTCCCGTATTCCATGTATTTTGTGGCTTACTTCTCTTTGGTAGAGTACATCCTTAAGTGGCTTTTTGAGAAGGCTGAATAGGAGGTAAAAAAAATTTAAGCCTTGCATATTTGAAAGATGTCTTTATTCTCTTGTCACCGCATTGCTAGTTTGGCTGAGTATAGAATTTTGGGTTAGAAATCCATTTCCTTTGGGATTTTTCTCCATCATCCTGCATTGCCTTTGATGAGTGCCACTCTGAATTTCAATCCTTTCTATGAAACCTACTTTTAAGCTTGTGGAATCACCTGCCCCTGGTATTGAGACCTTTTGCCTATAGAGCTGTAGGTGAGCCACACCCCACTTATTCTCCAGGACTTCCAGAAGTCTTCCGTTCGGTAACTATGGTGTTACTCACTGGGCTGGGAACTGCACATTTGCATATGACCTGTTTTCTAGGGCATAGCTTGCCTTTCTCTTACAGTCAATATTTGTAAATTGTTTACACCCTGTGTTGAAGATGTGCTGCACAAAGATGAAAAGATAATTTCCAAAGATGTGGTATTTACAGATCAGCAGCTTCTCAGGAGGAAAAGAAAAAAGGAAAGAGGGCACCAACATTTAATGTAGAATAAGGAAGACCAACTTAGATGCAAAAGGAACAAGAGCTTTTTTCCTCCAACATTTTATCTTAGTTTAGCTAATGGGTTAATTGTTAATAGGTCTTTTATCCAACTATTTACCGAGAGGCTGCTGTAAACACCAAGAATGGTCTAGAGAGTTAGTGGAAAAGCCCAAGCTCTTTCTTCAAGTTAATGGCTCTCAAATCTACTTGCACATTAAGTTATGATGCCCTGGGCCTCACCCCAGAACAACTGAATAAAAAGATCTGGGTCCTGGACATGTACATTAAAAAGAAAATCTCCTGACCTAGTTGGTTTGGCTCTGTGGTTAAAGCGTTGGCCCCAGACTGAAGGGTCGTGGGTTCGATTCCGGTCAAGGGCACATTCCTCAGTTGCAGGCTCTATCCCCACTCTGATTGGGGCCTGTGGGGGAGGCAATCCGTTGATGTGTCTCTTTCATATTGATGTTTCTCTCTCTCTGTCTCTCCCCCTCACTTCTACTCTCTCTAGAAAATCCATGGAAAAAATATCCTCCGGCGAGGATTAAAAAAAGAAGAATATCTCCTTAGGTTGTTCTAATATACACTTAAGGTTGAGAACTATTTCTTTAGTAGGTTAAAATCTAGGTGAAAATTCAAACATGTTCATTAATTGCTGTATAACATGGAAGATTATGATGAGCTCTATGATGAGTGAGACAGATTATGGGTATGTAAATTGGCAGGGTTTTTTGTTGTTAATCCTCACCTGAGGATATTTTTCCATTGATTTTTAAAGAGAGTGAAAGGGAGAGGGAGAGAGAAACATTGATGTTCAAGAGGTTCATCTATTGATTGCCTCCCGCATGTGCCCCCCACTGGGGCTGAGGATCCTGCAACTAAGGTACATGCCCTTGGCTAGAATCAAACCCGGGACCTTTCGGTCTGCAGGCCAACACTCTATCCACTGAGTCAGACCAGCTAGGGCTGAATTGGAAGGTTTTTAATTAATTGGAATCATCATGAAAGGCTTCATCAAGAAAGTGTGTTTTGAGGTAGAGGAGCTTTCATAGGCAGAGAGGGGACTCTAAGCCAGGGATTGAATGCCAAGTAGTTTGATTGGGTGTAGAATACATGGGGAACAGTAGAAATAAAAATTCAATGTTAGGTAGTAGCCAGACTCTAGACAATTCCAGTGTCAAACTAAGGAGTTTGACTTTATCCTGCAGGTGGGAGGAGGCTTTGAGGAGACATTGAGGGAGGCATTGAGGATTTCTGTTGAATAAAATGGCATGACCATTGGTGTCTTTGAAGAGCGATCCAGTGGGAATGAGGGGTATGTAGTGTGAATAACATGAGGAAAGGAAGATCAGTTGGAAAGCTCCTATTGTGGTCAAGAGTATAATGCTCTGAGCTAGGAAAAGAGCAGTGGAATGAAAAAAATAATGATGAACATTTGTATACTGTTTTCAAAATAACGAAGTTCTTTTCCACATCTCATTAAACCTCACAATAACTTCATTTACTTCCATGTTTTATAAAGGAAGGAACTGATATACAGAGTTAAGCTGCTCTGAAGTAACCAAGTGGAAAATGGAAGGGCCCAATTGGATGACGACAGAGCAATACTAGGGAGTTGCAAGGTGCTTCTGAGATCAGGTTGGGTGTGAAGACGGTGGAATTCCTCAGTGGCTCGCAGGAACCTCCCAGCAGCTGGACAAAATGCTCCCGGGAAAGGCAGCGGGGCAGCCTGGCGGGTCATTGTATTTTAATAAATTTTTATTGATTTCAGAGAGGAACGGAGAGGGAGAGAGAGGATAGAAACATCAATGATGAGAGCGAATCATTGATCAGCTGCTTCCTGCACACACCCTACTGGGGATCGAGCCCGCAGCCTGGGAATGTGCTCTGACCCCTGACTGGGAATCGAACCATGATTCCTGGTTCAGAGGTCGATGCTCACCCACTTCCATTGCATTTATGGTTTGATACACAATGATGCCTTATAAAGGTGTGAAGGAAGGGAAGAAATGGCTGTCACCAATTCAACTTGTCTCAAATAAGAATATTCAGGCCTTTTCTGAGTATCCTGAGTTTTCAGATAGCTAAATTTTGTTGAATATTAGACGGCTTAGTCTGGACATGGGGCTTCAAATATGGGCTGAGTAGGTTGGCTATGACTGGGTTTCCTTTTCTCTTGTGGTTGAGAAGAGAACTGTGGAGTGTGGTAGTGTAGACGAGAGAACGTCCTCATGTCTCTGGTGATTAGGGTGTTTGATCAAGATTGCGTCCTTGTCAGAGCTGGGGAGTGAACCATAGCCATCACTGTGGTAATTCACATTGTTCACACATTTACCTTATCTGCGTGCTTGTCCGTTTTGTGTAACAAGACCCTGAGGCTATTCAAATAGAAGCTGAAGTCAGCCATGCAGGTGATGAATTGTACTTTTCCATCCGAGATGTTTGTGTCCTTGCAATCAGATAGCAGAAGGGCGTGCCAGAAAGTTAAGGGATGCTGGGAGGTACAAAGCAGAGAATCCTCATCATGGCAAACCTTGATTAGGTTTTCTGTAAAATGCTGGGTGTGGGTGAAGGGAGTGAGGCTGGGGGTGGAGTGGAGGTTGAGCTTTTGTGACCTGGCATTCTCAGTCCAGGTGTGTAGAATAACATTTATTGGCTCTGGTTGTGGGGAGGATCAAGGCTTATTTTGGTGATTTGAAATGACAATATCCTTGGAAAATCAAAATGTCACATTTTATTTCAACTGTTCATTTTCTTTAGAATACTGGAATCTTCAATGGCAGGAGAAGGAGTGATCAGAAGACCGAGATGAATTTTAACACTATTCTAGAAGAGATTCTTATTAAAAGGTCACAGCAGAGAAAGAAGACATCGCCCTTAAACTACAAAGAGAGACTTTTTGTGCTAACGAAGTCCATGTTAACCTACTATGAAGGTCGAGCAGAGGTAGGAGACAATCGAAATGTGCTTTGCTGATTTCTGTGTTGTTACTACTTCGTAATACTGCCCCCAATCGTATGGAATAAGCTTTAGGTTAATGAAGTTAATAATGAAGTAAAGGTAATAATATGTTATTTTGGATTTGAAAGATAAAGTTTAGGATGTGGATATAAGTATTCACAAGTTCATTAATTATGGGTTTGGTATATATGGGTAAACATTTTCTATCAGCCTACTAAATTAATCTGTTAATGAAAACAAATTAAATCATTATGGGCTTCATTAAGTATATTGTATACATGGCTCTTTCCCATAAGTTACTGTATTACATACCAAAGTCTTCTTTAACACGTGGAAACTGTGTCTGTATCAATTCATCATAAAGTGGGACAGACCTCTGCCCTCTCTTGGTTCTCTGGACCCCAGGCTCCTTCACTACGATGGCAATAAGCGTTTATTGAAACTCTTCCTGTTAAGTACAGCTCATTGTGCTTTGGGAGTGTGCTGAGAAATTCTGTTCTGGAAGGTGGAAATTCAGGCAAGCCGTGCCTTCCAGCCCTGACATTGGAAAACCCGTGTTTCAGTTCCCGTGATGGGCCACTCTTTGGTGTGCCCTCCTAGTTCTTATTACTCACAACCAGCTCACATTTCTGCATATTCTAATGAACTGGTGATTGATCTTCCCGGCAATTTATGTTGTTTGATCTTACTCATAATAACACAGAACAAAGGGGGTTTCATACGTGATCTTGCATTCTGCTCAGGGAACTAAATGGCACGTGGGTCAGATCATCTGACACTCTAAGGGACGCTCTGTGTGGTATTGCGATGGGATCCAGGGGAACGCAGGCTGGGGGTTAATCAGGAAAAAGGCCGCGAAATAACGGGGAGAAAACAAGGGGAGGACAGATTTCTCTATGTCGCGATGTGGAATAAAAACTTTTCAAGTAGTGAGTAAATCTCCAACAATTGCTAGCTAAGAAATCAGGAACTTTTTATAACTGGACTTAGGTACTACTAACTTGGTTGGTGTGTTTTCTGTAATGCTGCTCCAGGATGAAACTGGCAAAGAGTTTATAAAGTCGCGGAGTAGGGAGACTAGTTGTGTCGGATCACGAAGGCCACCTCCAGGTGCGATGATTTGTTAGGAGAACTCACGGCACTCAGCATATAGTTGTACTCTCAGGTACAGTTTATTTGCTTTATTACAGTAAAAGGAGACAAAGCAAAATCAGCAAAACTAAAAGGCAAATGGGGCAAGTCTGGAGGAAACCAGGCATAAGCTTGCAAGAGTCCTTTCTCAATGGAGCCAGAAAGGGTGTGCATAATTCCTCCAGCATCGAATTGTGACAATTATGAAATGTTGTTACCAGGAAGCTCATTAGAGACTCAGTAGCCAAGGTTTTCATTGGAGGCTGATCACGTAAGCACCCTCTGCCTAGCATGTACCAACATTCAAGACTCCAGAAGGAAAGCAGGTGTTCAGCTTAAACACATTGTTTGTACAAATAGATTAGGCTCAGTGAGCTGTTCTTATGGGTGCTTGGAATGGCAGGGCCCTCCCAGAGTTCAGGTTTAAGCCAAGGGCCAACCTTGTAAGCCGGCCTTTCCCAAGATAGTAGTCTCATAGGCCAGCTCTGTTAACTCTTTTTTTGCAAATCAGTGGTAATACTGGTAAAAATTTTTGAGCACCAAATATATGCCAGGCACTGTGCTAAATACTTTATATGCATGACTCTTTCCCCTCAAAACAATGCTAAATTGTATTATCAGTATCTCCCTTTAAAAAATGAGTGATGTGAGGCTTAGAAAGTTTAAAAACTTGCATAAGATCATACACCTAATGAATTACAGGGCTGTTTTCTTCAAAGCCTATCTTTGAAACCTCCTTGATACTCCAAAGTGAAAAATTCTGTTAAATCTTTCTATAACACAGGTAGAGTTGTATTTTAAAGGAAGTGTATTTTTATTACTTTCAGTTATGAATTTTTGAAATTTTCTCTGCGATAGAAGAACATTAACACTAGAGAGGGTTTTTGTCCTGGTTCTGCCACTATCTACTTGGACATTTTAAAACAGTGCTCTTCCAATTTGTATATATAGTTTAGAAATTACTTTTCTATACATTTTCTATCTCTTCATACTCTGAACTCCTCCTTTGTCATCACTGCTTCAACCCAAGCACGCGTCCGATCTATTACCAGGTCCCATGAATTCTCCTTCTCTTTGTTACAACTTTAATGCGGCTCCCCACTCCATTCTCTTAGGTGGATTACTGCTCTACCTGATTCCACTCTTGAATATTTATCTTTCGTTTACAGAGTCTTCAGAGAGATATTGAAAACCTGTATCTTCTCTTTGATCTTCTCTAGGATCAAGTTAAAACTCCTTAGCTTGGAATACAAGGTGCATAATGCAATTTTCTAGTTGCCAACCCTACTTCCTCCAGCCTCGGCCATATCTTCTACCTGCAATTGCCCTGTCTCATGGTGCCTTTGCCAGTCCTACTCGGAGTGATATCCTTCTCTACCTTCCTGCCAGGACCTCTCTCTCCATCCACTGTCTTTTTCAGCCACCAAAAATTTGTTGAGTGCCTGGCAAGTGCTCATCTTTCCTTACGCCGCTCACTCCCCACCTTCTCTGAAGCCTTTCCTAGTTCTTTCCCACTAAAGGTACACTCCACACCCCACTCCAACCCTCTGTGCCTGTAAATATTTTTATCATGGCATCTTGGTCGTCTGACTTCATTTACATTTCTTAGTCCTTCATTGGACTTCAAACTCTTGGAGGGCAGGGTTCACAGCTTATTTATCTTCGCATTTCTGAGGGCCCAGTGCACAGTGGGTACTCGGTGGGAGGGCTGGCTGGGTGGAAGGAGAGATGGAGAGACCATAATCTTAGACACAGGCAGGGCAGACTCATCCTAAACATACATCATGAACCATGATACCCAGCAAGGTTGTCACACTGCAAGCAAGTTCAGCGCTTTTTCCATAATGCCACCAGTGCATCCCTTATCATTTTATTCCAGCTGTACTAAAATCGAACATTGTTTGTAATGAGATGCTTGAAATTTTAGTTTTTTACCCAGGATAACGGACAGGACGGTTGAGGCAATCAGTTACGAGTATGACGTGACATGAGTCTTTTAAGCATCCTGGGGAAACTCTCATATTTCTATGGAGTCTTCTCGGTCATAGAGGATGGTTTTCTTGACCAGCCCTGGGAGCCTGGAGACTGTGATATAGAGATAAGAGCCTCCTGAAGTCCTGGGATGATCAGATGTTTCTCTCCTGGTTGTATCCTTAGACTAGGGGGACCTCCCAGTGGGAAGCATAGGTTTCCAGGACACTTGTAATCCTATCTGAGGATTTGTATCTCTCAGCACGTTGTCTGATTCTGGAGAATGGGTGTGGGCTGGGAAAAGTTTCTTTTATTTACTATAGAGAAATTGGAAGCATTTGCATCACACTTTACCAGATAGTTCACTAGCTTGTAAAAAGTGATACAGCTCTAAACACTCAATAGAAGTAGTACAGTGCTTATTGTACAAGGAAACGTTTTTGGCTCTGAAAATTCTCAACTGTATTTTCCCAGAAATTTTTTCTTTTATTATCTTAAATTTTTTTCATTATTTAAAATTGTTTTATTTATTGATTTGAGAGAGCGAGAGAAACATTGACTTGTTGTTCCACTTATCCATGCATTCATTGGTTGCTTCTTTTATATGCCTTGACCATGGATGGAACCTGAAACCTTGGCATGTCTGGACAATGCTCTAACCCAGTGGTCGGCAAACTGCTGCCCCTTGAGTGTAGCTCTTCCACAAAATACCATGTGCGGGCGCGCACGTACAGTGCGATTGAAACTTCATGGCCACACTCAGGGAGCCAAAGAGCCGCATGTGGCTCGCGAGCTGCAGTTTGCTGACCACTGCTCTAACCAAATGAGCTACTCGGCCAGGGTGAAAACTCAGTTTCTTGTAGGCAGTTGAGTTTCCTTGTTTCTGAAAAAAGGTAGTATTGACTTCCTCTCTTGTGTCTCAATTTCCTTTCTATGTCTCTTCTTCTGATTCATATCTGCCTTCTTAATCTCCTGTCCTGGATCTGAACTTTCTTGTAATTAATCATTTACTAGGATATGATCCATCCTCTTAATTTACCAATTTATTCAGTTTCATTTCATAACATTTTACTATGTGTTTTTTTTCTCTAGGAAACAGAATCCTACTTAAGACAGAAGGTAGTTGGGTGGGAGGGTACCATTCCTTCCATCTAGACTCTGAAAATTTTTTTTAATAACTTCATATTTTGCTATAGTTTCAAACTTTGAAAAAGTTGCAAGAATAGAAGGAACTCTCAAGTAACCTCTCAAGTAATCAGATTTATGAATTTGCCTATGGTTTTGTCCAGTTTGCTCTATCAGTCTCTTTGTCTCTCTCTTTGCATGTTATTTTCTGAACAATTTGAGAGTAAGTTGTAGATGTTGCCCCTTTTATCACTTTACAGGTCATTATATATTGTCTAAGACCAAGACCATTCTCTTTTATAACCACAGTACAATGATCAAAATCAAGACTTTAAACACTGATACAATACTACTGTTGAGTCTATAGTCAAATTTCATTTATTTTTCTGCTCATGTCATCATAGCTATTTCTCAACTTCCTCCCCTTGCCAAGTTGAGGATCTAATCCCTGACCACCCATTGCATTTAGTTGGCCAAGACATAAAGTTTTTAAATATCGGTGGTGAGAGGAAGAGAAATGTAAGGAAGAAATGCTGTCTTTTGTTGCATACTATAAAATGCCAGCTGCTGGGGTCCAACCCCAGCAGGTCCAGGGGTCCCCAAAGGTGTTGACGGAGTCGGCAAAGAAGGAATGACACGGAGACAGCGTTCAGTTGATCAGCAGCCTAGCCAGGATCTCTAGCCACAATCTCCAGCCAAGTTCTGTGTCCATGTTCTCTTGCTAGGTTCTCCAGCCAGGTTCGGTTTAGG